ACCCCGCCAGCCCCCCAGCTGCTCTGTCCCAGGCATCCCCAAGTCAGCCGCTGCTGAAACTGACCAGTGGCTGACTCCAGGAAGCCCCTGCCCCCGGCTTCCTGGAATCAGCCGCTGATCAGTTTCAGCAGCAGCTGACTTGGGGATGCCTGGGGTTAAGTTGAATCTGTATGTAAGTCAGAACTGGTGTCCAGATTCAGCCACTGTTGAAACTGATGAGTTTCAGCAGCGGCTGAATCTGGACGCCAGTTCCGACTTACATACAGATTCAACTTACGAACAAACCTACAGTCCCTATCTTGTACGTAACCCGGGGACTGCCTGTATTAAACTATCACTGAGTTTCACCTGAGTAAGATATAATGATCTCTCTGAAGTACTCTGAAATCTTCAAAATCAGAAGTATAACATAAATATGAGATGTTGTTACTCATTTATTAACGGCTACCACAATTCTCCATTACCCAACTCACCAGCCACTTGCATTCAGAAACTCTCCCCTAGTTTCTCTATTCTCAAAGTTCAATGCAGCAAACGTTTACTTTGTGGCTAAAAAGGACTCACTAATACTTCATTTAAACAAAAATCAACAATAATCAGAGCTGCTGTGACTAGGGATGTTAGCGACTAGTCACTTCCTTTACCCCTTGCTGCCTCTATCAGAGAGAGGTAGCAAAAGGTGGAGGAAGAAGCAGGAGCCAGTGCTGGGGGAAACTGGCTTTAAGGGCAGGGAAGGCAGAGGAACAGTGGGGAAATGGCATGAGCGGGCACTGATTCAGTCCCCACCCCGGCATCGGTTCCCAATGTCAGCGCTTCTGTTTTTGAAATATACAAGAGCCTTCCAGGTTGCAATGATCACTGCACCTCTCCATTTTAAACCCAGTAAGAGCCCACTGGTTCTTACTACGTTTAAAATGCAGAGCAGCAGCATGGGTGGCGCTGGAGCCAGCTCCTGAAGCTACCTCCGCTGTGGCTCTCCACAGCAGCGCTTTTCAACTAATCATATAGTCGATACAAATAGTCAATACAAATCATCAGGGAGGAAAGTCATAACACAAAAGCAAATTAAATACTTGGCAGTTGTGAGGAAGAATCTCTCAAATGCTTTATTTGTACTCGTAGAAAAGTTCAAGAATATTTTCACTAGTCTTCTAATAAAGATATTTCTCTTATTAAATATAAAATTGCCAAACATGTATGTGTCTGGACAGTGTTTTGTCCATTAGACATAGCTGTTAACACTGAAGAAAGATACTGTCATTATGAATAATTCTCTGAAGACATCCATTCAGTGTGCAGTGGCAGTCAAAAGAAGAGAACAGAATATTGAGAATCATTAAGAAAGGGATAGATAAGAGGACAGAAAATATTGCCTATATGTAATTCCATAGTATGCCCACATCTTAAATACTATGCAAAGATGTAGTTACCTCATCTTAAAGATGTAATAGAATTGGATAAGGTTAAGAGAAGATCAACAAAAATGATTGGGGGATGGAACGGCTTCTATATGAGGAAAGATTAATAAGACTAGGACTTCTCAACTTGGTAAAGAGACAATTAAAAGGAAATATGATGAGGTCTATCAAATCATGATCGGTGTGGAGAAAGTAAATAAGGAAGTGTTATTTACTCCTCATAACTCAAGAACTAGGGGTCACCAAATTGAAATTAATAGGCAATAGGTTTTAAACAAACAAAAGGAAGGATTTTTTCACAAAACATGCTGTCAAGCTGTGGAACTTTTTGCCAGAGGATGTTGGAAAGGCCGAGACTATAACAGTATCAAAAAAGAACTAGATAAGTTCATGGCAGATAGGACCAGCAAGGCTATTGGCTAGGATAGCCAGGAATCATGTCTCCTGCCTCTGTATGCCAGAATCTGGGAATGGGCAACCAGGAATGGATAACTCATGTTTACTTCTTCTTAAAAAACAAAAACAATGAAGTCTAGTAGCACCTTAAAGACTAACAAAACATGTGGATGGTATCATGAGCTTTTGTGGGCACAACCCACTTCTTCAGGTGACTGGAGTATTACAAATCCAGAGCCAGGAATAAATAAGGGAAGGGGGTAGGGCAAAAGAGGAGGGGGGGGGAGGAAAGAGGAAGGGAAGAAAAAAAAATAGAGTGACAGTGAGTAGATGGTTCAAGTAGTTAAGAAGCTGATAAGAACAATTAGCACCTCCATTGTTTGGTTGGGTTGTTTTTTTTTGTTTGTTTAGTTTTTAGTTAGTCTGTAACTAGAAAAACTAAACTAACTCGGCTACCCCTCTCATTACTTGTTCTGTTCATTCTCTCTTTAGGGCACCCCGTAAATGTCAGAAGACAGAATACTGGCCTATATTGACCTTTGGTCTGACCTACTATATCAGCTCCTACATAAGAACCAACAAGTTGAATAGAAGGGTTCAACAGGAGAAAGATTTGCCCAGCTCATTTTATTAGGGTTTGATTGATACAGCCTCACTCAAACTTACATTTAAAGACATGCATACCAATACCCTTTCCTCACAATTAAAGATATTTGTCTCAGTACTTCTAAAAAGTTAAAACCCGATCATACATTATAGTAAGCAGAGAGAATCCTGATCCATACGGAAACGGGTCCTCTAAATTTCCACTGGGTGCTTAACCCATTTTGAGTGGGTAGAAAAAAAGGAAACCTCCGCGGCGACATGGTAAGGGTCCGTTGTCCTGAACGGCCTTCCCTTCATAGACAACAAGTATCTATGCCTAACCTACTGACAATACTGACCAAAGAAATTCTGTCCTTAGAGCTCACTAAAACCGCCACGTGTGCTGGTTTGGGGAGTCCATTGCAGACAGGTGCGGGGCTGGGGTGACATGCAGCAGCGCCCCGCACTAGACGCGACAGTGTCACAGCTGTAGCGCCAGGTCGGGCCTCGGAGCCGGGCTGGGCGCACCCGTGGCGGGCAGGGCGGCTCCTGTCACCCTGGCGCGCTGAGCAATTCGGGGCGCCTGCCTGGTGCTGCCCTACAGCCCGGGGGCTGGCCGCCCCACCCGGGACCAGGCCGG